GAGCTATATTCCTCAATAGTTCTTGTGTGGGAACACCAATTTAATGAAAACCATTCTGTGTGCTTTATCTATCAGACTTTTCAAATGAGGGACTGCAACAGATGGTGAGTTTTTTTCAACAGCTGAGTTTTTGTCTATTTTTAGAGCCTTGTAGGAAGACTAATAAAGACAATAACACCAGATCCGATTAAGTTTTTGGATTCTACAGGAAAAGCTAGCCCAAGATAAACAGTTTCAAAGCTCCATATGCCATACTGTAGGAGTTATTAACGCCGGAAGATGGTCTGAGAGGATAGTTTGCCAAAACACAGAAAAATAAGTAAAATTTCTAAGAGCTATAACTTCAAAACGATTAGAGATATAGACTTAATATTTGGGATTTCTTCATAAGTTTGGTATAGGAGCATCTGAAGGGGTGACCTGGGAACATTTCTCAGAAAATGTTGAAACAGGTTGTCTTGTTTGTTGTTGGGTGTGAGTTTTGCAAGCAATCAAGATTTTGTTGTCTGTTGTAGCCATTACAGTTTACGGTTTCTCTGGCAGGACAGAGGGAGACGAAGAGATAAAGAGTCGGTCAGTGATCGGAAGGTCGGCAGTTCGATTCCGCCCTGTAACCTGTGTCATGGTCGTTGTGTCCTTGGGCAAGACACTTCACCACCTTGTGTGAATGAATGGATTGTTTGAGGTGGTGGTCAGAGGGGCAGAATGGCAGCCACGCCACTGTCAGTCTGCCCCAGGGCTACAATCGTAGCTACCACCACCAGAATGAATGTGTGTGAATGAATAAAGCGAGAAAAGCGCTATATAAATCTGATCATTTATTATTATTATTAACATACTCTGAGCTGGATTTCAAATGCTAATCATCAAACCAATTATTTCCCATCTTAGGTAGAGAAATGCACCTACTGTTGTCGTTGAGGGAAGCTATAGCAAGACAGGACTTTCTCCTACAATTCAATTCAAATGTAATTACTCTGCTTTTTTTTTTTTTTGCCTCTGCTTCGGTACCACTTGTACCTTTCCACACTCTTACCTCTCGAGCAGAGTAGGGCTCCACTGGCCATGGCCACTTGCAGGGCCTGAGCCAGCCGGTCAAGAGCCAGCTGGGACAACGCGTGCGTGTCAGCAGATGACGTGTGCGTGTGTTTGTCGGCCTGGTCCAGCAATCGGGAAAGATCGGAGGTCAGTGCGGCCAAAGACTCCATCTGAAGCAGCGCTAGGCGACCATAAAGTCCCTTCTCGTTGAGTATGTTGGGCAAAAGCATGAAGACCTGAATGTGGCACAGTATGGAGAAACAACTTTAAGACCTTCAGTTTGCACATTAAAGATATTCTCTGCACTGCATGCCGTATCTAGACACACACGTACCTGTAGGACACTTAAATGGAGCGCGGAGAAGAGAGGCCCTGCTTCTGGCTCGCTCTCCTCGCTTCCGTTCATCAGCGCCTGCTTCTTGTCTTTCCTGTAGACCAGCGGCGCTTTGATGCACCAGCGCACTAACCCCCCTAACGGTGTGACGTCGAGTGAGCTGATTGGCTGGCTGCCAGAGAGGGGCGTGTTCAGGAAGGTGATCAGAACGAGGCGAGGGTCATCTTGAATCCACGACACGATCATCTGGAGGAGCTCTAGCGGAGGGGTGAGCTCTTCTGGTAACACACACAAAGACGTTGACGTTACACATCTAGACTCAAAATTCAGTCTTATTTATTTATACAGATGTCTAATCCTGTTTTACGGAGATTCTTTTGTTGATAGGTTTTGCACTTTTGTGTGTACCTGAGGTGAGGTCGTAGAGGGTGGTGACAGCGGTGATGAACTGACAGCAGAAGCGTGGGCTGGCGCTGTGGATATTCTGCAGGGTGGGCACAGAGCCTGGTACCATACTACAGTAATCATCTACCAGCACCTGGGCCAGGCGGACGCAGTACACACGATGGGTTCTCTGCATGACACAAACACAGGCTCGTGATCAGCGCTCAGTGATTTAAAGTCCACAAAAATGTCCTCACACACAGCCTATAATAACAACAACACACTTTGATGATCACGTAAATATGTTTGAATCCTCACCTGTAACCAGGTGGCGGCACATTCCAATATGGGAACCCTGCCCACAGCGATTGCCATGGAAACCAGCTTGCCTAACAGTGCCATGCGGCTCTCATCTGCCTGGTTGCCTTGCAGGTTGAAGAGGGCGGAGAACATGAGCTGACGAACAGTGTCGCGGCTCTGCTCCTGAAAACAGCTGCACATGATCTCCAACAGCTGGAGCTCCTGGAGAGCACTCATCCTCTGAAAGAAACACACAGACGCACTTTATTGGCTGTCCACATTAGTGTGTGTATACATAGTGTGTTTACATAGAAGCCTTCCTGGGTGACGTCTTACCCTGGCCGGGGTGTTTCTGTCCTTGGGCGCGTGCAGGATGAACTCCTCGACCAGCTCCAGGGTTTTAGAGTCGACCTGAGGAGGCTGCCTGCCGGACTGCACCAGGTTGCAGATGTAGATGTCCAAGTGGTACAGCAGCTCCTTGGCTGCACTGAGGACATCCCGAGGGAGCAATGACTGACGAATGTCACCCATCGCAACCTGGCAGAGACCCATACATAATACCATAAATATTAAACCACCTTCATTAGATGTTGAGGAGAAATTTGACAGGTTTAGAGTGTGTTGAAGAAATTTTACTCATAGTCCTCATGTGAAGTTTGCTGTAGTGGGTGTTTATTAGTATTCCGGTATACGGTGGGCTCACCAACACAGAGCATGAGTCTGTGAAGGTGGACCGACCCTGAACATCTGCAGAGTCACACATTTATACTGTAAGTCAAAGGGTAGGGGGGGGGGCTGTATGTAAATACAGAGGTGAATAGAGGTAAATTAACATACAGTTGTTAATCAAATGGCAGGAGGTAAGGGGGGCAATGAACAACAGGGGGTGGAATCGGGTGCCTGTGACAGGAGGTAGGAAAACACATGACAAAAGGTGATGGGAAAACACATGACAACAGGGAATGAATTCAGGGGTCTTTGACCATCACAATAAAAGACAATGGCTTTCTTCTTCAAGTGCCATGCAGGTAATTAAATGGTTGTAAACAATGAAAACAACTTTAAAATGATGGGCTGTAATGATGTTGTGGGTTTCAAATTAAATATGCAACAGAGTGGGAGAAGAACAATAAGCACATCACATGTAGCTATAACAACAATGCACACTTCCTCTTTATGTCCGATTGTTCACACACAAAACAATAAAACGACTCCACACCAGAAGAGTAATAATAATAAAGGGCAGATGAAACGTTACACTCTGAGGCTGCTTGTATGTGGCAGCTGTTATTCTGCACTTCTCGGCTGGAGCGGCTCCACATTGAGTAGCTCCACCATCCTGCTACGGCTAGTGTTAGCAACGTTAGCTAAAGCGGCTGTCGCTCTCCTCCGTAGCGCAGCACGCCTGCGTTATTTATCCCCACAACATTAAAAAACACTTTGTAAGTTCTTACCTCTGCACAAAGCCCTTAATTATCCCAATAAACGACCCAAAGGCGAGACAACCGAGAGGTCTCGATCGACGACGGGACCGCTTCCTGACGCTACGGAAGTCTGCGAGGGACAAAACGTGTGCCATTGACGTTTGTTTAGTCAGCGGCTGTTTGACTCATTATTGTCGAAGAGCGAATGTTCATCGGTGTTCAAAAACGGTGTGTCCTTTGTTAACTGTCAGTTATATTACCAAGCAAAGCCCATAAGTAGTTCAAATTAGGAACTTCAATCATTTAAAAAAAAATTTATTCCCACATAAAAATACATTAAATAATACATAAATTATGGCTTAAATATCAGTATTTCATTTGGTAACCTTCAGGGTACGTTCTGGGGAGGAAAAAAACACAAGGGAATGTTACCTGAAGGTTTTCTAAAAGTTTCGACGTTCTGGGAACATTCCCTAAAGGTTCCTTCAAGGTTATTTTCCTGCTCCCTTTTGCTGGGAATGATTCAAGGATAAATGCATTCACCATCCATATACACTTGTGTTCTGTAACCTTCAGGAAACCATAAGGGAATGTTCCCCGAAGGTTCTCTAAAGATTATGTTGGTGTGAATGCTGTTTGAAGGTAAATCTGTTCATTTTCCCTGTGCATTTTTGTTCTGTAACCTTCAGGAAACTGTCTGGGAATGTTCCTTGAAGCTTTCAAAAATAACCCTCATGGATAAATAAATAATAACTACAACAAATACCAACAAGAGAACTAGCAGACTGCATCAGGTTGTCCTCTAGGATTTCTTTCCACTTTGCTGCGTTCATTTTACCTTTACAAGCCTTCTACAGCCTGCTGCCCAGAAGCATCCCCTCATCATGATGCTGCCACCGCCGTGCTTCACAGTGGGGATGGTGTTTGTTTGTTAGGGTGTGCAGTAATGTGTGTCTGCCAAACATAAAGTCAAAAAAGCTGCATTTTGAGGGTGTGTGCATCACTTATTTAGTATTTGATGCTTTTTTAAAATTAATTTAAACTACTCTGTTTTCATTTTAATCTGTTTTCACTTCACCATTAAATAGTGGGTTTTTAAATTAAATTAAACTGTCCATGATTCATTACTGAAACACAATAAAAAAGGGGGAACACTTCCGAGTGAATGCTTTTTATAGGCACTGTATGTTTTTAAGATTTTTCGTGTTTTTTTTTTTTTCTTCTTCAGTGGGTTTTAAGCCTATCCGTGACAGAGATTAAAAATAAATAAATAAAAACACTTACAGAGTTGTTTTCGCTTCTGGGCGGAAACCACATAACATATTGAAAATCACTTTGCCATAACTGTAATCCCTTCTAATCTACACGGGGGCGCGCCCGCCAGGCACGGGACCGACCGCCTGATGGGAAAAAAGAAAAAAGGGGGAAACAGCGGTGCACGCGCTCCGCCGCGCGCTCCCGGCAGCACTTCGGTCCTGCACTTTGCCGTCCCATCGAGAGATCCCAGGCAGAACCGCAACATGACCATCAACACCCTGGCGAAAGGGGGGTGGAACCGGGAGCAGATGACATGCTTTCGAAAGGTAAGACTGTGGGAGTGTGTGTTTTGTTTGGTTTGTTGTGCTTTTGGTGACATATTATGGGATGCTGTGGATGCAAATGTGAACACACTTGATCTGTTGGCTCCGAAATGAAATCAAATGAGTGTAAAACAGGGGATAACATATCATAAGGGTGCAGTTGTTCCTTATTTTCTGACTTATGTTTGTGTGTGTGGACTGTGAAGTGTTTTGTGTTGTGTGTGTAGCTGCATATTCACGTGTGTGTGTGTGTGTGTGTGTGTGCATCTTGTGCCCGACAGATGGAGAAAGTGATCGTGGCCATGCAGGACCCTGACATGGGCATGAAGATGAGAAACCAGAGGCTCCTCATCACTGTCATTCCACACGCTATGACAGGTGTGTGTACATGTGTGTGTGTGTGTCCCCTTATGTCAGTGTGCATTTAGGTCTATGTGCATGTGTGGACAGGGCACATTGCAGCTTGTCTTTGTCCCAGCGGTCATGCATAATGCAGCAGGAAATTTGGGAGAATACTGTGTGCTTTGCAGAGTGAAGGGAAGAACTTCATCCTCTTCTTTCCTCTTTTTGTACAACAAATAAACACAAGTCTGTCTCTTTGCATTGTTTTTTGCAGGTCACGACATAATTACCTGGTTGATCCAGAAATACAGCATCTGCGAGGAGGGTACGTGCATCATATGTTGTGTGTGTGTGTGTGTGTGTGTGTGTGTGTGTGTGTGTGTGAAGGACCTGCTGTGACTCGGTGCCTTGTTGTGTGTCGTCGCCAGTGTGTTGCCAGGATATGGTGTTTTCTCTCCAGCTGACGCGGTGGTGATTTATGTGCGTATTGTGGGGGGGTGTTTGCTGTTTCCAGTAAACAGGAATGGGGTGAGCCCCAGTGGGTCCAAGTTTGATTAACTCACCTGATGATCTGGGTTTGATTAGTGTCCCCGTGGAGGCCTTCGCCCCGGGAGGTTTCAAACCGTGCCTGAACTAAATTAGAGGCTGGAAAAAAAAAAAAGAGTAGCCCTCTGGTCCCTGTTGCCTCCGAGTAGACTGAAGGAGGGGAGAGTGGAGTCAGTCAGTAAGGCACAGAGGGAGAGAGGGAGAGTGGTAAGAGCTGATTAAAATGCAGCACACAGCTTTTTTTGGTAGCTGTCAGTCATAAAAGTAGGGCTCTTTAACAAATGAGGAGAGACTGAAGATTGATGAGGCATTTCATCACTGGAACAAAGCCTTGATTTGAGAGAGATTGCTGACACTGTGCATGTGTTTGACAAAAAAATATTTAAAAAATTGTGCACGACCAGCCGGGCTGCCGGCATTTTTGCCAATAATGGTTATTTATTCCCCGCATCAAGCTGAGTTTGAGAGCTTCAGTCCCACTAACATGTATTATTTGTATTTTCTAATTTAATATAGCTCGTCATTAAGTCAGATTAGATTGAACTTCATTGTTATTGCAAAGTTCAAACATCAAAATGTGGTTAACCAAAGAGTCCAAAAGTTCAACCAAAGAACATAATGCATAAAACATGTAATTTACCATATATGATACCACCACACCATGATGCTGCCATCACCATGCTTCATGGTGGAGACGGTGTTAAGAATCACCCATACGATAAAATCACACGTCCCATAGCCTACACATGTGCATAGATTTTGTTTGAACAGCGAGAAGGGGTGTGGCACAAGGTTCTGCTGCCAAAAAAGCTTCCCCACATCATGATGCTGCCACCACCATGCTTCAAGATGGAGATGGTGTTAAGAATAAGCTATATGATAAAAAAATACTTGATTTTAAAATGATGTCATGCTGTTTGTAGTATTTATCACATCCTGTAGCCTACACATGTGCATAGATTTTGCTTGAGCATTAAGAAGGGGTGTGGCACAAGGTTCTGCTGCCAAAAAAAGCACCCCCACATCATGATCCTGCCACCACCATGCTTCACAGTGGTGTGTTGGAGACATTATGCAGTGTTTGATGTCTGCCAAACACAGTGTCAAAAAAAGCTCAGTTTTGCCCTCATCAGACCGAAGAATCATCTTTCAGTTGACTTCAGAGTCTCCCACATGTTCTCTGGAAAACACTAGTCTAGATTCAGTATGAGCTCTTTTTTTCAATAGTGGCTATGTCTTTGCCATTCTACCATCAAGGTGTTTCATGTTTATTATCTCCCATCTCAGCCGCTGAAGCTTGTAACTCCTTCAGAGAAGTCACAGGTGTCTCTGTGGCCCTCCTATACGCAATATGTGTCTTAGAACACCTCATGAGGTCAATGTTGTGTCAGCTAGATGTCACGGCGTGCCTACTCTGAAGTTTGAGACTGTTCTGTGGTATTTAACAGAGGCTCTGCACGTTGGCGGCATGCTGGTGAAATACGGATATATTTACCCTCTCAAAGAGCCGAGGTCCATCGTGTTACACCCTGACGAGTCGCCCTACCGCTTCCAGGTCAGATGGTCATCTCTCCCACAGTATGTTCATTCTACCTGCTTTTGAAAACCTGCCCGTCCTCCCGCTACCTTTGACTAAACCGTCACCTTCTCTCCGTCGGTGTCCGTCTGCCTTTTTCACTCTCGCGCCATTAGCCCTCCTCCTAATCCCTCATCCATCTGCCACTCTCTGCTGCCACTTTTTCATCACCCGCTTTAACATCAATCACAAAAATAAATAAATAAAAACGTCACTTGTCACTTCTTTTTTTCAGACTCCTTACTTCTGGACGAGCACCCGGTGGCCTGCCTCAGAGCTGGACTATGGTAAGAAACAATGGTGGTAGGAGGGCGTAAGAAAGGATCTAACCTCTCTTTAAATGTTATGCATTGAGCTATGAGGGGAAACAACCATTTTCCACTTATTTTATAAACTGTCTTTCTTTTTTGTCTTCCGTCTTCTATCTCAGCAATCTATTTGGCTAAAAAGAACATAAGAAAACAAGGAGAACTGATGGAATATGAAAAGGTGAGGGAAGTGTGTGTCTGTGTGTCTAACAGACAGAGAATGTGTTTGTAAATGATGTGAATTATGCAACAGGAAAATTGGGGCAAGTGGCCTGTGTCATCCATCGTTCCTCCTCCTTCCTTCCTTCCCTCTTCCTTTTTAGGAGAGGTACAGTGTGTTGCACAAGAGGATCAACCACACCTGGGACTTTGTGGTGATGCAAGCCAGAGAGCAACTCAGGTACAGTCACGTGCACACATGCGCACCCCCCCCAACACAGAAGCACGTGCACACTCACTTACACTGTGATTTATGTTCAGGGCGTCCAAACAGAGGCGGAAGGCTGACCGCATTGTGCTAGAATGTCAGGAGCAGGCGTACTGGCTCATCAACAGACCGCCGGTATGTTCAGTACCACTGCATTACACTATACTACACAATATACTGTTCTGTACACTATACTGCACACTACACTGTTCTGCACAATATACTATACTCGACTGTACTGTACTGTACTACACACTATACTGTACTATACTATACTATACTATACTATACTATACTATACTATACTATACT